AACAAGTTTTAAATAGATTTTGTTTTAAATTATTTTTTTCGAAACTCAAAACCCTTTAGGATAAAAGCATGCATTAGTAACTGCGCTTTGAAGACTGAGTTCAGCCTGCATAAAATTTTACTTGAACTTACGTCACTTTAATGATTATGTCGACATAAAAAATATATACGATTTTTTTATTTTTAAAAAGTATGGAATGTCAAAAGTATGGAATCATTATTCGGTGTTGAGCAGTGAGGCATTACCAATGCTCAGTGAACCATGCGAATTTTCGCCAGTAAAATAAGGTTTTAAAATTTAAAAAAACTTGCGCGATCTTCCAATTCACTAATATATATTGTGTGGATACACAAGATTATATGATATTTTTCTCATTCACTGTTCTAACGGTTTTACTAAACATGTTTATGTAGAATTCTTTAAATAATTTTCATTTTCTCATAAATATTTAATGACTCTAAAGCTCCCCTGTTCCGTCGACAAAAGTAGGTTTACTCACACAAGGGTAAATCCAATTCGCTGTGCCGTACACACGAACGCACACAGAGGACCGTGACTTGAGGGAAAAATAAAATTTCTCGCTAAGTTTATAATGGGAAAACTTTGAGAACCACTTAATTATGTTAATGTTTGAAACAAAATTTTCGAAGAGACGTTTAAACATAGCAATGAGTCAATTTTAAAATGCTTTTTATAAAATAACACTAATAACAATTTATTCTGCATTTATTGGCTGTGCGAGGTTAACTAATTTTTCATCGTTAAATACTGCATGGTTTGGTTATAGTCAAAGAAATCATATACAGATTGAAAATATATTTGTAATATATTATTTGACGTGACTTCGTTATGATATACCTAACACATTGACATTTTAACATTTTTTATATCGTAATACTACCAGCTAACATAAATTAATATAACAAAAAACAAAAACTAACCTTAAAATATGATAACTAAAATATATTATTAAAAGGAGTCCCTTTAGGCAAGGTTCCGAAGATACTGGCAGCGTTCCCCCTTTGAATAGCTAGACTAATTCTTTGTCCGAGGTAGCTGCTAGCTCTTCGGTCTCCTGTGATGTCGATTAACCTTTTAGCTATTTCCTTAAAAAGTCTTATAGCGCTAGGACCCTACGGACCAATGGTCTCGACACCGAATGGGACAAAATCATATTCGGAGCCTAGACCCCTGTATTTGCATGCTTTATCTTTTTCAGCAGCTTCACAAGCCGCTCTGTTGTTGGTTCCATTTAGATGGGAAGGGGCCAGCGCTTCGGAACAGGTTGCATCCCATACCAACACCCGGCCCATCATACCGTCCGGTCTCTTGCAATACCAGTCGGCTCAAGTAGACGTGGCACGTTGACGGTGACAAGGGACCGGCGTATGATACCGTTAGGAGCGGCATGTGTCGAGAAGAGGCCTGAACTTTTTTGGCATGACAGTCCGTGATGTCCCAATAAAATATAACTGAAAATAAAAATAAAATTAAAATTTGACACGTATTTAAAAAAAGGTGTGTGCTATCATGCGTCATGGTAACTCCAGTGAATATATAACATACTTAGATTGTAAAAGTCAATTGAAGACAAATTTAGTGACCAAAAGTGTATCTTCTGGCGTCTAGCTTTATACGCACTTTTTCAATGTTGTATTTATTGTAAGAGCAATCTTTTGTTAGATTTAATAAAATTATTTGTTATTAAAATGGCGAGTAATAACTTAAAAATAACATTATATTCAAAGTCCGTATATTTAGACCCTAGGGTAAGAAGGCGTCGTACCTTCATAGAATACCACTACTGTGGCTTAATTATTTAGTGTGTGTGTGTGGCTGAATTATTTCTCCAGTATAATACGCGAAATATAACTAATTTGAGTGTACGACCAACCAGGCTCCAAAAGATAAACCACTCCTTATATGAAAATTGTATTCGTTTTTACAACAAACTCCCAAGCGAAATTAGAGAATTATTGCTAAATAAATTCAAAGACCTCGCTAAACGTAAATTAATCAATAAAGCTTTTTATAAATTTGACGAATACTTAAATGATCCTAATCTTTGGGATTGATTTGCTCCAGTTCAAACAATTTGTATGACAATACTTGGTGATTAAAAAGAGTGGCGGAAAGTTTCTTGCCAGTTCTTCTTACCCGTTCTACGCCCTTGACTTGCGAACTGGTAGTAAATGTAAATTTACAATTAATTTAACTTCTTTTTGACGATTCAGAAGTGTACTTGTGTACCTATATGAATAAAGATATTTTGAGTTTGAGTTAGCCACTTGGTTTGGTAATTGGAGAAACAATTATTATTTTACACCCTTCGACATGCAGAAATTTTTCTGCTCCCTTTTTTTATTTTGGTTAGACGAATTAATGTAGATTACACTTATCCGTTTAAGAGAACCGTATTATAGTATAATCAGCTTTATAAAACAACAAAATTAATTTAAATTTCTGTAATTGCATTACAAAATTAACTTCAGTTAATTAATACCTCGAACTAATCAAAGTTTCGTCCGTGTTCCCGAAGCCGCATACTATTGCTCTAATAGAGTTTTCCTGATGATAAGCGCCAGACTCAAAATAATTTCCCTTCTAATGTATTTCAATTTTAATTTATTAAGTCACTTTCAAATACTTCATGAACTAATTATAATATTGTAATTTTCTATTCTATGTAATTTAATCTATTGGTTTGAATGAATTCACATTGTTTTGAAACTTGAAACCTCGTCAGTTTCCCTTCTGCATCTTTTACAATAATATTTTTTTTATTTAAGCAAGTTGGTGACCGGTCTTTATGCCTGATACTCATAAATTTGAGTTAAGGGTAAAATTCAGAGCCGGCTTAGCACTAAGTATAACTCCTGTATGTCATAAAGCGTTACTACCGACTCTGAATGTAAGATTTTCGGGGTTCTTCGATATATTTACTTTACTGTGATTATTGGCCACATAGACAGAAAAGTCCAATGGAGGGCTTCCAATGCACACCAACACGAGACAGTGAAAATTGTTGTGAAAATGTTTTGGCTTAATTTTAGTGTTTTTAGTTATCATTATACTTACACTCTTTTTAAATAGCAGATTATTTTTGCATTGGCCATTAGCACCAAAGTTTATTTTGAAGCTTACTATTATAATTGCTACTAGTGATAGTATTTGCTAGTGGATAAGTAGTACTATTGGGCACTAGGATAAGCATTTGACTTGCAAATTTTTGTTAAAAAATTAGATCATTTGAAACTTGTTTGGCCCCTCATAAAATATTAGGTCCTTACATATGAAATTGGCATATTTCGTACTGGCCACTTTAATCACGATGTTCTCCTGTTTGGTAAGGAATTCCAAATTCAAATTTGTACAGCTATTTACTCATGTATTTGTGCTTCGATGACCGTCATTCATTTGTTTTTTTCTTCGTCATTTTCTTTTGCTCACTCATTTTACAAAATGGAAAACTTAAAGTATCGCATTATTTACGAGTACGAGTTCCGCCGTGGCACTAGTGCTGCGGAAACGACTCGAAGGGTGAATGATGTGTATGGCGGTCATGTTGCAAAAGAAAACACAGTTCGTTTTTGGTTCCAACGTTTTCGTTCTGGAAATTTCGACCTGCAGAACAAGCCCCGTGGACGGCCTGAGACCCAAGTTGATAATGAAGTATTGAAGGCTATTGTGGAAGCGGATCCATCGCAAACCACGTCCGAGTTAGCTGCAGGCTGCGGTGTTAGTGATAAAACTGTTTTATTTCACTTGAAGCAAATTGGGAAGATTAAAAAGCTTGAAAGATGGGTACCTCACGAATTGACTGAAGCAAACCGGCAAACGCGCGTCGACTGCTGCGTTACATTACTGAACCGGCACAATAATGAAGGTATTTTAAACCGAATCATTACCTGTGATGAAAAATGGATTCTTTACGATAATCGAAAGCGCTCAGCGCAATGGTTGGATCCTGGCCAGCCAGCCAAATCCTGCCCCAAGCGAAAATTAACCCCAAAAAAGTTACTTGTAAGCGTTTGGTGGACTAGTGCCGGTATTGTTCATTGCAGTTTTCTCAAATCTGGCCAGACTATTACGGCTGATGTCTATTGTCAGCAATTGCAAACCATGATGGAAAAGCTAGCGGCTAAACAACAATCGCTCCACGCCACTGCTACTTCACGACAACGCTAGACCACATACTGCACAACAGACGGCTACCAAATTAGAAGAGCTTCAGTTGGAATGTCTAAGACATCCTCCGTACTCCCCGGACCTTGCTCCAACAGATTACCATTTTTTTCGAAATTTGGACAAATTCTTGCAAGGGAAAAAATTTAACTCTGATGGGGCAGTCCAAATCGCCTTCACAGATTTTATTGATTCCCGTCCGACTGGTTTTTTTAGTAAAGGGATCAATGAACTACCTATAAGATGGCAAAAGTGCATAGAAAACAATGGTTCCTACTTTGATTAATTAAATATATTATATTTAAAAATATTCGACTTTTTGTTCCTCCCATACAAAACGCCAACTTCATATGTAAGGACCTAATATTAATATTTTACAGTAATATAGGTAGTTGAATTCTAATCGTGAAAAGTCTAATAGTAGTAATTTATATGCCATTAAGAAATAACGAGTTCAGTACCATAACCTCATTGAAGTTGAGCAACTTAATGCAGAATATTTTAAAAAGTAATCAATGCGTATTTCATAAGAATTTTGTGTAGCTATTCACAAACAAAACCCAATGAATTCAGTCTAGTAGAATAAAACAATTGAGTAAAAAGCTAAAAAGTATGAAACCGATGTTATTCTGTAACGAAGTTATATATTTCAAATAACAATAAATACGATTTACGACTCAATAAAAGGAATATCGCTGGAATTCTATCTCACATCAGTTTTGCCAAATTGTGTTTCCGGTTGTGTTTTACAATAGATCTTCGAACGAGTATGTGTAAATCATAAAGCATTACCTCATTTCGTTTTAATGAAAATATCATTTCCTTCCAAGGAGGTGTATCCAAACTTTACATCCGTCATTTTGCATGGGCCAACGGTCGAGAGGCAGTGGCAGGGGTGTAAGGGGGAACAGCGGGTGGAGCGGTGCCACCCCGCGAGCCTCGGCGCCCCCCGCCCGTCGCAGGATCGATACGTCATTTGAGCTGGTCGCCATGGAGACCGCGAACGGTGCGGGGCGGCGGCGCCGCGACTTCAGGATGGTGGGTGCACGGGACTTCGCGGAGCCCGCGAGTGCGCTAACCCGCATTTCCTTGCCTAATAAAAACATTCATATCAATAATTAACTAATTTAATCACTGATACCCGAGAATCCAATTTCTGTAAACCTCTAAGGAATTGCATATTTGATTTTATTGTCTTAATATTGTCGAAGGTCGTGAAAGCGATTTGTATGAAATAGGATAAAAGCTTTTCCGTAGATCGCATCGTGACCGTAAACAGTCCCCGGCTTAGGAATGATCGCTTCTATTTATGGGGTGAATGCTTGTTAAATAGTTCAATAGAGGTTGTTTCGTCCTTAAAATAGTTTACAACTAGGTTCCCACATTTTAAGAACGTATTAATGACACTTAAATTCTTAATTAGGTGACTTTATGACTTTTTCATATGAAATGACACAACTTGTTACTTGTTACCAAAACTAACACTATAATATTGAATAAATCATATATACTTGTTAATAACCGGACAATAATAAATGAAGCTAATTATGGTAATCAATTATTTACCATTCAATATGGATTATTATTATTTATATATTACAAGAGTATTCCATTATTTCGATTGGGATTTACGTTTATTATACCTACCAAACACCGCCAATTAACAAATTTACATTTTTAAAAGGATTTGAATCAAATTTGCATGTGTTTATACACGCATAATTTTTAATTAGTGTACAATGTAGCACATAATCGAGTTATAAACTTATAATAAATTGAAATAAGTTGAATACTCAACAAAAGTGTGCCGAGTTATTATCGTAGCTACAATACAACCAACAAATATACAAACTTTCAAATACGTGTATTTGCTTATAAAACAAGAAAGTTAGCGAACAATATAAAAGTAATGGGATAGAGCGAGAGCGACAAAGTAGATTTTCATTAGAGTGAGTAAGAGGGACTTATTCAAATTGAGGGTACATATTTGTACATAGGTAACAAATAGCTGGTTGAGAAACAGTGGACATGCATCTGTTTTAATTTTTAATATTTTAAAATCCAATACGCGATATTTTTTCATGTTGTGATTCACGGTTACCGTGAATGCACTAGATTAAATAAGCTTATTTAACGCGGATTTACCAGTAGGATATTTAAAAAATTGAGAACACAACATCCTACATATTTGAAGCAAAACTATATCAATTTTAGAGATGTACAACTATATTATTTCGTTATGTGGCCTTTCTGGGTATACATTAGCCCGACACGCGTTCAGGGACGTAGAAAGCAGTTTAACCTCGTATTTATAAACGGGATAAAAACTTTAAATACTTATCTATTTTTGTCTCTCTCGTTTGACTTCAAACATTAAAAAATGGGACAATTTTAGCTACAAAAACATTTATGCAACTGAACGCATATTTAAATTACCTAATGTTATAGTTTGATAAGGTATTTCCATGTTATGATTATTGGACAAAAAGTAGAAAAGTTCCTGTTGAAGAGAGTTGAAGGAGCAACTTCAAGAACAGGTATTTACTCAGTTAGAATATGTAGTTTGAGCAGGTAGTATAACTTATAAGATTCATGCGTATTTGGTTATCGAAGCATTTATGTTACTAATTATTCTCTTAACGCGATATCGTACAACTTTTATCGGGTAATAACTTTGCAATTATTTGACTGATTATCTTGCAAATACTGTGGGAATTGTGGGAACAGTAAATGTATATGTAATTAGAATTAAAAATAAATCTTTATGATATTTTAATGCGTTTTTATCGGGTTAAAGTATATTTCCTTAATCTTAAAACCATTAGACATTTAATGATTTCTATCATACATTTCTGAAATATTTAATTAAGTGTTAATTAAAATTAATAACTTTATTTCATAGATTTTCAACGTACTAAAAGATTTCTCTGTGTGAAGATAATTGTTTTTAAATTATAAAATTAATGTTTTACGAAGACGTTTTAAATACATGCATGTAATTAAATTTTTGAGAACTGTAACTCAGTATATCTATTAGCATATATATCTATAAATCAGTATAAATTATTATCATTTACGGTTGTATAAAGCGCCACCTAGCTAAACTTATAGGAACCATTTTTAAAGTGCAGTTAAATTTTGGGTAACGTTGTCAGTAACCGCAGAGTTTTTGGTTTCCTCTCATTATGTAGACGTATGTATCCGCTAGATGTAGACGCGATAAATTGATTTTAAGAGCTAGAAAAACTTAGTCATCAGAGATTCGTCATAAATATTGGTATTATAGGAGTTATAGGTCAAATCATGTTATATTAGCACTCGAACAGAATTTATTGTAGTCTTCAGCGCTACTTATGGAGACGTGTTCCTCTCAAGCAAACATTTATATCGTAACTTAGTTTAGCGGTTTAGAGCACTGCCCTACTTTAACTGAAATCTGAATATAAATTGTGGTTTACAAGCCTCTTCTATTACTAAAATTAAATTTATATTTTATTTTTATGAACACAGTTTGTTCTTTTTATTTTTTAGGCAAGTTCTTATTACGATATTTTATGTATTGGTTACGTTACAGCCCGTACAAAAATAATGAAGTAAAGACGCTATTGCGTTTAGAAACGTAATAATAAAAAAAATATCATGCTGAAAGTCACCTAAAGAGTAGTGCTGTCGCGTAGTGGTTAAGCGCGACTCTCAATCCCGAAGTCTTCCTTTCCGTTCAGTTGCCGACTGTATACCAAAAGAGTTTACTTTCTAGGTGTTGTGTAACTTATATGAGATTTACATTTTTTTGTACCTTGGAGGTTTGATTAAACACCGTGTGGTAACGGACATGTTCTGCACCCAAAAACTGTTTTTTTTTTTGCTAAAAGTGGTCAATCAATTGAATCTTGGGAAATATTAAATAGCGATCAAAGTATAATTACTTTTATAACAGCTTAAAATTAAAACTTTTTAAGAGTAAAATGGTATTATGTTAGGCATTACTTGACATATTATGTAAATAGTTGAAAGCAGTTTGGGGATCAATGAAAGTATTTAATTTTATTTGAGGATGTTTTTAATTTATTAATTTAAGTTTTGTTACCCACCAATGGGGAACCATGTTTATATTCCATTGATAATTTTTACGTTGTTTTTAAATTCATGTGGATTTAATCCACTTAATAAATTGAGTGACGTTGATTACAATATGCAAATAGGTTATTGTAAGAGGAATGAAAAGAGAAAATAAACGAGATGTGATTTTGAACGTTTTATTTAAACTCAGTTTGCACAGTTGTAAAGGTAGCTAATTCTAGCTTAAGTTCGGTAAATTGTGATTAAATCCAAAGATAATACATAATAATTGACATTAAATTTATTACTGCTGTATGTATTTTTTGAAACGTAACGCTTTAAACAAATATGTTTGACTATTGCTATAACTTTAAATAAATAAGATATAATATAACTACAACCTGCGTACACAGAAACAGATTTGTACGAATTAATGTAACTGACATATTAGTGTAATGCGCGTTACAAGAGCCCAATAACTTTCGTACTGATCTAAATCTGTAAAAATATTTAAAAGTCTACCAGCACTTTGTATCAAAATCTAAGATTACAAAACGATATTATTGTATAATTCAAGTGCCTTCCGTATTGGCGACTTTCACTTAACAAGTGCTAGTAAAAATTGGAGCTTCCACGAATTAAAGAAAACAAGGTAATAATAGAAGTCACTTTCTGTAAATCGTGAAATTATGAAAAGTGCCGGCCGAGGTTGCCGGCGGGGATCGCATCGATCGACACTTTTCGAGTCAATAAGATATGCTCCTGTACTTCTAAATTAAAAAATCACTGGTCTTAAACATGGCTTAAGTACTATACACCTAACATATTATATAAATTATTACAAATTAAGGCATTTACAACATCAGAATTCCTTAAATAACATAGAAACTTCAGATTTACACGATACTAGATTGAAGTGTAACATCGTGTAAAAATAAAAAATTGACTAATGTGATATCGGTAAATCAATTTAGTTTACGATCAAAAATGGTCAAGATTTCGGCGATCTAAACTGACCAACGAAGTCGTTAAGATGACGCGTCGTACGAACACGGCTCGAACCGGATGTGGGTAGATCTAAGGTATTCAACTACCAAACGCTTAACAACCACATTTTGGTCAGTTTCATATAACTATTAAGTATGAAAATAATAAATTTAGACGAATATAAGTAGTACCTATTATAATGGCATAGTTTTATATAAACCATTCGTTTGGCACTAAATCTTGTAAAAATTATTTATAACTCACAAAAATTAGATTCGATTTCGGTATTTAGTTCATTAATCACAGTCACCGTTGTTTTAATATTTAAGTGTGCCACTCTCTAATGAAAAATTATAATATCGATTACTAATATATGACACAAATTCTAAAACTATTCCATCGCGAAATTTGAGCATTATTCTTGTGCATCAAAGAATATTTTTATGAAAAAGTATTTCTTATCACGTAGATGTTCTAATCTCTGTGATCACTCATGTAGTTTTCTTCGAATCTAGATTTTCACCTCCGTCGGGCGGACACCGCGGCTGCTATCATTTGTCTCAGCATCGGCTCCGGGGTGCACGCCTTTGGATCACACTTCATTTGACCATCGCCGCCACATCTGTAATAATTCATTAAAATGTTAAAAAATCAAAGTTCTTGTGTTTAATTTTAATTATTTATTCCAATTTGTATGTGTTATGAGGTAATTGCTTAAAGTTTTTAAATGTTTTAAGAATTGACTATTAGCAGTAAAGTTACTTATCCAATTAACTGAGAATAGACTTACGTGCAGTGAAGACAAGGTCCAGAGGAAGCACGTACAACTTCGCCAACCTTGTACGTATGACCTTTAATGTGACAGCCTCTTCTTTGTGCTGCTCCTTTATACGCGTGAGGAAGAAAATGTGGAGGTAGAGTTGTTGTGGTAGTAGTTGTCGTAGTGGTAACGTTCAGTGTCGTTGCCATAGACACAGGACACTCATAGCGAGGACAGCAGAATCCTTGAATAGGTTCCTCACGACATCCATGGATGGGTGGGGGACAACTCTGTTGCAAGCAAATGATATCACTTCTAAAGCAGAAACAAAAGTCGCATGGGTCGTCTCTTGGTATTTGCTGTGTAGATCCATAAACTTTACCGCCGTAACGACATATACCAGGTATAACTGCTTGTTCCTCTTCGCCATAGTCTGGTTCTTGTCCGTAACCGCTGACACCGCTAGGTGGGAATTCTGGTGATGGTATTTCTTCAGTGGGTTGATCATCAGGTTTTGTTGTGATTGGTTTGCTAGTTGTAGATGAAGTTTCAATCAATTTTTCATCAAATAATGTTGTTTTAACTGACGTGATTTCTTCATGAACGTAGTGAGGTGTAGTTGTTTTTGTAAATTGATCGGGTATCTTTGTTTCCGATAGTACATCTGGTTTTTGAGATTCTTCATTCATAACAGTATGGGATTTTTCTGTTGTTGCAGTGATTTCTAAATCAGGTATCTTCGTCTCCAATGGAATAGAGGCTAGATTATCTTCGTTTTGAATCATAGAAGACGTTTGAGTAGGTGAAACTGTTGATTCAATTCCTTCGTCTGTTGGCTCCAACTTATCTTGCTCCCTAACTTCTGTATCTTTTTGTGGTTCTGAAGAACTGCTTATTTCAGATGCGGTAGTCGTGTATACGTCAATATTACTCAGTGTGGTTTCTTGACTATAGCCAAGGGGAGTTACCGTTACATCGGTTGATTTTTCTGTTTGCAACCCGTTATCTAAGTTATCAGAAAGAGGTTGGTCACCTCGTTCAGTGGATTGAATACCTGTTGCTCTTTCTGTTGATGACTCATCTATAGGTATAATAGAGGTCTCTTGCATGATTTGATGTGTATGTTCTTCAAGTTCAACAAAGTATGGAGTTGTCTCTGAATATTCATATTTGGATTCAGTGGTTGCTTCCTGTATATCAATCTTATCAGCTAATGCACGTTCTGTGCTAATACCTGTCGTGTCCGTTAGTGTTGAGCTAATGGAATCAAATCTTGTATTCTCGATCGGTGATTTTGTTGCGGTTTGTTCAGGTGTAACGGATTGAAGACTTTCTGTTGAGAGTGTTTTATCGGTTGTGTCTTGAGATAATATATCATGTTGGGTAGGAACGAATGTTTCCTCTTTTACAGTTGTTGGTTTTGTGTGTGTTTCGTAAGATGTTTCGGTACTGCCTTCTGGATCTCTATGTTTGGTTGAATCAATTTCTTGCTTAGGTGTTTCCTCCTGAATTGTATCCGCATCGTTAGTAATTAGGGGCAATTCTGGTGCGATTGTGAATTTCTCGGGTTCATTTTCTACAACTACTGTTGTCGAAATTTCATCCTGACTATTTGATAGTCTATGTTCATCTACGGAAGACATGGTAATTTCTTGAGGATCAGTTGATATTGATAGCGGTTGTTCAGTTATTTGATCAGACTTCTTTGTTGATTCTATCATTAATTCAGTTGTGAATAGTTCAGGTTGTTTTGTTTTTTCTTCAATAAGTATGGGATAGTCAGTTGCATCGTGAGTTTCAGATGTTAGTACGGATGGTTTGGTAGAAACATCTACTTGGGCCTCTGTTTTTTGCGTTTTAGACGAAGAAGTCATTTCTATTTCAGAACGTGTTGTTAATTCATCGAAGGTTGTACCCGGTTGCTCAGTAATAGCACCAAGTACAGATTCGTCTAAAGATTGGCTAGCCTTACTTGTCGTTTCTTCCTTAGGTGATTCAGTTGTTACATCAGAATCTTTAATTCTACTTGTAGATTCAATAGATGGCGTGACAGTATCTGCATTTTGTTTTGTAGTTAATAAATCTTTACCGGCTGTTGTAATTTCTACGCCAGTAGTTAGTTCCGACTCCTTGGTTTTAGTAACTGCTATTGTTTGTAAATTTTCTGTAACAGATTCAGTTACTGTGTGTGGTTTTTCTGTTATAAGTGACATCGGAGATAAAGTTTGTTTTTCTTGTGTTTCAGAGCTATCAGTAGATGCTTTCGTTTCTTGTTCTAACTCAACTGCAATCGCAGACGCCGTTGAACTCAATCCAGATTCAGGATCAAATGTTGATTCAGAAGTGCTTACAAATGTTTTATCAGTCTCTAGAACCTCTGGAATAATGTTTGGTAGAGTTGAGGGCAATTTTACAATCTCAATTCCATGAGTTTGGCCTAAGTCATTATTTACAGAAGATTCGGTACTTTCATGAGGTTTCATTGTGTCTACAGGTTCATCTAATAAAGTAGTATAAGGTTTATCAGTGTTTGAGATAGTCATTTCATCTTTCTCAATTTCGTCTGTTACTAAGATTTCTGGCTTAGATTCTTTTATCGATTCAGTAGATTGACCAATTTCGTTGTCAACTAATTCATTCGATGACTTGGTCGATTGTTCAGTATCAGTTTTGTCAAATTCATTTGGTGATCCAGTCGATATTTCAGTAACAGTTTTGCCTGATTCATCTGACATTTCAGTTGATTGTTCAGTACCAGTTTTGTCCGATTCATTTGGTGATCCAGTTGATTGTTCAGTAACAGTTTTCTCTGATTCAGTGTAATGTTCCTTATCAGTTTTGTCTGATTCATTTGGTGATCCAGTCGATTGTTCAGTAACAGTTTTCTCTGATTCAGTGTAATGTTCCTTATCAGTTTTGTCTGATTCATTTGGTGATCCAGTCGATTGTTCAGTAACAGTTTTATCTGATTCAGTATATTGTTCCTTATCAGTTTTGTCTGATTCATTTGGCGATTCAGTTGATTGTTCAGTAACAGTTTTGTCTGATTCATTTGGTGATCCAGTCGATTGTTCAGTAACAGATTTGTCTGATTCATTTGGTGATCCAGTCGATTGTTCAGTACCAGTTTTGTCTGATTCGTTTGATGGTTCAGTAACAGTTTTGTCTGATTCATCTGACGGTTCAGTTGATTTTTCAGTAACACTATTGTCTGATTCATTTGGTGTTCCAGTAGATGTTTCAAACACAGTTTTGTCTGATTCATCTGACGGTTCAGATGATTGTTCAGTACCAACTTTGTCCGATACATTTGGTGATCCAGTCGATTGTTCAGTAACAGTTTTGTCTGATTCAGTATATTGTTCCTTATCAGTTTTGTCTGATTCATTTGGTGATCCAGTCGATTGTTCAGTAACAGTTTTGTCTGATTCAGTATAATATTCCTTATCAGTTTTGTCCGATTCATTTGATGGTTCAGTCGATTGTTCAGTACCAGTTTTGTCTGATTCGTTTGATGATTCAGTAACAGTTTTGTCTGATTCATCTGATGGTTCGGTCGATTGTTCAGTACCAGTTTTCTCTGATTCGTTTGATGATTCAGTAACAGTTTTGTCTGATTCATCTGACGGTTCAGTTGATTGTTCAGTACCAGTTTTGTCTGATTCATTCGGTGATCCAGTCGATTGTTCAGTAACAGTTTTGTCTGATTCTGTATAATGTTCCTTATCTGTTTTGTCTGATTCATTTGGTGATCCAGTCGATTGTTCAGTAACAGTTTTGTCTGATTCAGTATAATGTTCCTTATCAGTTCTGTCTGATTCATTTGGTGACCAGTCGTTTTCAGTAACAGTTTTGTTGTCAGTATACTGTTCCTTATCAGTTTTGTCTGATTCATTTGGTGATCCAGTCGATTGTTCAGTAACAGTTTTGTCTGATTCAGTATATTGTTCCTTATCAGTTTTGTCTGATTCATTTGGTGATCCAGTCGATTGTTCAGTAACATATTTGTCTGATTCAGTATATTGTTCCTTATCAGTTTTGTCTGATTCATTTGGCGATCCAGTCGATTGTTCAGTTACAGTTTTGTCTGATTCAGTATAATGTTCCTTATCAATTTTGTCTGATTCGTTTGATGGTTCAGTAACAGTTTTGTCTGATTCAGTATAATGTTCCTTATCAGTTTTGTCTGATTCGTTTGATGATTCAGTAACAGTTTTGTCTGATTCATTTGGTGATCCAGTCGATTTTTCAGTAACAGTTTTGTCTGATTCATCTGACGGTTCAGTTGATTGTTCAGTAACAGATTTGTCTGATTCAGTATATTGTTCCTTATCAGTTTTGTCTGATTCATTTGGTGATCTAGTCGATTGTTCAGTAACAGTTTTGTCTGATTCATTTGGTGATCCAGTCGATTGTTCAGTAACAGTTTTGTCTGATTCAGTATAATGTTCCTTTTCAGTTTTGTCTGATTCATTTGACGGTTCAGTTACTGTATGTGTATCCTTTGTGTAATAGTTTTCTATTGCTATATCAGTTACCAATTCACTTACGCTTTCAGAAATATTTGGCAATGAAATTATAGTGGTTTCTTCTGATATGTCACTATGTTCAAATTTATTGGTGTACGTGTCTTCTATTGGCTTGCTTGTTGTATAACCTGATGGTTCATTTACTCTTAAGGTAGTTGTTTCTTTATGCACAACAGGGTTTTCAGACGGAGATTCATTTGATTCAATCGATTCTGCGGATGTAGTAATTTTTTCGTCTTCAATTAAAGGTGCTATGGTAGCCAATGTTTCAGTGTTTTGCTCAATGTCCTTCCTCATATCTGAAGTATTGTCTTCTGTTGGGTTTTCATTAAGTGCAGTAGTGAAGTCTTGAGTCACTTCAGTATACTTAATTTCAGGGATCTTGGTTTGAGTTTCTTGCTTATCAGTTGATGTGAGGTCAACTTGCTCTATTTCAGATTGATCTTTTTGGCTATCATTTCGATTAAACTCGGTGGCTGGGCTGACTTCTGTGAAAAGTTCAGGTATGTCCTGGTCTATAGCTTTTTGAGTTTGATTTTCTTCAATAGTTGAAGGTGATGTTATTTCTGGTTCTGAATGCTTGTGTGACTCAGGCTGGAAAGTAGTGCCTTCTTTGTTAAATATTTCTGTAGCTTCTTCTATCACCTGTGCCTCTGTTACTGTGGGAACATCTGGTGAAACGAAATCATGTTCTTCCTTTTTAGATACTTCTGTTGATATAGCGTATATTTCAGGATGCGTAGGCTCATCTGCATTTTCGGTAAATGCCTCAGGAGTTAAAGTGCTTGGATAATTTTCTTTTTGTTCTGTTGTTGGATGTTCAGAAATAAAATCAGGTGCTCCGGTCACATGTGAGATTGGTTGTACTGACAGATCTAAATCTGGTATTTCTTTTGTAAATGAAAGTTCCGATTCTGTGGTATCAGATGATCTGTCATCATATGGAATAGATGATGACAAATGCGGTGCAATAGTGATTTTTTCTTCTTCTAATATTTCACTGGAAGTAGTTTTTTCGTCTACATTTGGAGGTCCGGTAACATGGATAAATTCATTTTGATTACTTTCTTTGTCACTTTGAGAGGAAACCATTGTATCGGCGGTAGTTGATTCTAATTTAGGGTATTCAGTCAACATGTTATAAGTGTCTTTAGTATTTTCTTTAGAAACTGCTTCTGTTCTGATTTCTGTTTTATCAGCCATTTCTGTAGTACTCGGTGAATTTATCTCGTCTAAGGATGCACCCAAAGTTGTGTGCATTATATTTTCATCCGAGGGTTTAGAACTGTATTCAGTTGTAGCTTGTTCTGTTGCTATTACGAGATGTTCTTTAACAGTACTTAAATCAAATATTGATGATGTTACTGTTTCAATATCCGGAACCGATGGTTCAGTAGAAGGCTTATCAGCTTCTGAATGTCTATCGGGTTGGTGACTTATTAAGCCTTCATCGACTAAATAGGTTTGAGTTGTACTTTCTTCACGAATAGTTTCAACCGTATGTTTAATTTCAGAAGAAGTAGTTATACTTGGTACCGTAGTTTCTATAAATGGTTCTAATGTACTCCGAGGTTCAGATAATGTAAAATCTTCCGGTTGTTTGGCTTGGTCTGGTTTTGTTGTTGGAATAGGTTGAACAGATTCAGGTGAAGTTACGTCATTAGGAGAAACTGTCTCCTGTTGCGTACAATCAGTGCCGGAACATGGTACATTGGCTTTTGTTTCATCATATTCTTTTCGTCGGCAATTTTCATCTGTACAAGTATTTTGCTCATCTTTAGTTTCCTTATCTAGAACATCCGTTTCTTTATTATTGGGTAATTTGGAATCTATTATACAATCATCACCTATGCATGGTGTTATAACTGGTACTTGACATTCATTTTCATTATTACAAGGCTTGTTATTCGTTTCAAATTTATCTTGGATATCAGTCGGGACAACAGGTTTTGTAATACAGTTTTCACCTACACATGGTTTAATTACTGGTACTTGGCAGCCACTTGTTGCATCACACGGTTGGGTGTCAGATACTGGGGTTTGTTCCTTCTTAGAGTCACAATTTCCGTTTGAACAGTCATTTAAGTCGTTTTGTGGTAAAACGGATGGTTCTGTACCTTGACAACCATTTTCACCGCATGAATGTTCAACTGGATTTTCTGTTGTTTTACTTTCTTGATTAATACGACATTCATCACCCACACATTCAATAGGCTTTGGAATTTCTGTACCAGACATTTGGCTATGTGATTCTGGGGCAATAGTTTCTTTAGTATTGCAAACATATGTTGGACAGCACGAGTCAGGCGAGTCATAAATAGGCTGACAATCATTCATATTTTCCATATATTCTAGAGGTGGAGTACAAATTATAGGATCGCATTTGATAATACTACTAACACATTTACAACTTATGTGGCATTTATTTGTACTTGGAACTGAAGTATTATTCTTAAATGTTACACCGCCAAGCAAGCAGTCTCCTTCACCCGGTATTCTAGCTGGTAACGTCTCTTCTAAGATTTCATTTTCCTGTACGTTTATTGTGGTAGTTTCTAGACTACTTGTTGTAACAGTAGAATAGGTTTGTTGTTCAGTAAACGTCATTACTTTGGGCGTTGTCTCACTACTTTCTTGTTCGGTAATCGATTCCTCAACATTAGCTGGTTTGAAAGTAGTTAGAGGTTCTTCGAAACTATTTTCAATATCATCAGTCTTTTCGGGTAATTTTGTAGCAATAATGAATTCCTCGTCTATTGGAGTCATATTATCTACATCGTCTAGTAAACTTTGTTTAGTAGTTATTTCTGTTATACCTTCACTTATTTCATTTAATTTCGGTGTAACAGTAGGCTCTAAAGTAGTATATTGATCTGGAGATTTAGTTGTTGATATATCTTTAGAGGTATCTTGTTTTTGTTTCAAATCTTCAACTGACGTAGTGTACGCAGGCTGTCCTGAAGGTACTACTGTTGTCATCACATTCAAACCCTTTTCTTCATCAATATCTTGCTTTAAGTCATTTTCATTGGTTGAAGTAATAGAAACTGATGGCTCAGTTGTCAATACTTTGTTTTCGTTTTCAATATCACTCTGTGTCGTTACTTCTGAAGAAACTGCATTAATTTCTGTAGAATATGGATATACGTTATGGCTTGTTACTGGAGGTGTATCAGAATGCAAGCTCGTTATGGTTGTCAATAAATTATCTTCGCCACTTCCCTCTATTTCAGTATCACCAATTGATGACATCTCAGTGTAAGACTCGTCTGGCTCATTTCTGTATCCACTTCCTTCAACCCCGAATCTTCTTGGAGGTGTCAAGGTAGTAGTTTCTTCATTGAATTGCGTGGTTGATAGTTCGTCGCCTTCACATATATATGTATCTGGACAGCACTGGCCCTGTTTAGGAGGTAGCGATGTACAATTTTTGCCTTCGTTTTCCATAGGTGTACCGCATTCTTGAACTACACAAACTATATCGCCCTTCATACAATAACAATGTTCACAAGCTTTTTCAGTCTTTATAAGAGCTCCATCAAAAAATATTTTATCATCATGAACGCAGTTTTGTGAAGCTTGTGTTACTGGCATCATAGTTGTAGTTGTTAACAAAAATCCAGGTGTTGGTCTTACTGTTGTAGTCATGTCATCCAGAAGAGGTATCTCATCTTCGGCATGATCTGAAACAGTAAATAAAAATCAGCGCTTAATATGCATAAATACAAATGTAAGTTCAACTAACTTAGTGCGTCACATTACAACATTACATTTTAAATAATTGGAAATAGAATTCTTTAAGGTTTCAGTTTTAGATGCGAAAAATCGATAAACAGAAGAATACTCACCACATGAGTAACGAATAGGACAGCAGACGTCTTTGTGATATATTGGTGTGCAACCATCTACGTGCAAAGTACATTCTTGCATAACACACGTTGTCATGTTATGAATGCAGTAGCAATGTTCACATGGCTTGTTCGGAGTTGGTGGAACTTTGGCCCCTTCAGGAAAGTATTTTCCGTTAATACTGCAGCCATATTTGTCCATTTTGCCTAATCCAGTTGCTCCGTATTCTGCTGGAGATGAGGTGGATGTGGATGTCAGTAGATCTACTGGAACTGAAAATATACAATTTAATAGTTAGTTATAGGAAAATGAAAACTGTAGGACACATTGTACTTAAAGTTGTTTCAAACCAATCCATAATGTATTAACATACATAGATATGTCATATCGATTTCAAACTCGAATTTAAAATAATTGTTTTGTACCCAGGACTAAAAACACGGAATAAGTTGCGTACTACGAAACGAATCTCTAAAAGCTATTGTACCAATTATTACAATATACGATGACAATAAGAGGGTAGGTTAAAATGCCACTTACCATCTGGACATGTGACAATGGGGCAGCATTGATCCGCACGTTTCTCCACGGTGCAGTCCTGTCCAATGGGTTTCGTGAACGGACAAACCCTCAAATAACACATCAGCATTCGGTTGTGACACGTGCAGTTAAGGCATGGCTCGTTGGTCATGATGCGGTCGCTTTCGCCATAGTGTTGGAAGTTATAGTAGCATCCCTCGACTGGAGCTGAAAATTCGATTAAATAGTATTTTTCAATCATTTTCTTTGATCTTATGGTTTCCATTCGACCCTCATTTGTAGAGTGACTTTCTACTTAAAGATAATGGGTTTTTTACAATCAAAGTAAACAATAATTATATCGCAAACAGTTTGCAAATTATTGAACAAATATAAAATATTATATTCAAGTTTCAAAGTTAGTTTTACATAACATATATCATTAATTATCTGTTATACATTTAGTTACTAACCTTCAAAAAGATCTAGCGCCGTCTGGTTGCTTGCAGTAGGTGCTGAAAAGAAAAATAAATAAATAAGCAAAAGGTGCTACATATAAACAGTATTCCACAAGGCATACTTTATGCATTAAAGTGTAAATCTAGAGACAAATTGTATTGGAGGCATGAAAGGCTGGAAAAAAGTGTTCTGAATAAAGAATATCGCATTTTTCTTAGTTAGTTAACCTCAGTTTTTGGGCGAACTGCACTATTGTGAATTGTCAAACATAAGCAACACAAACAAAATAAAATAGGCAGGAGTTGAGTGTGTACTTCCTAAACAACCCAAAGGGCACAGGGGCAGTGTCTGTTTCATAATTTTTCCTATTAGGCAATGAGTGTCAACTATATAAGCCATAGACGGAGGCATAATGATACTGACTAACTGATATATAATTACTTAATATGCGACAAATGGTAATTAAAGTAACTGCGTGTATATTCAAACTGTTTATTCTTAACCGAGGGCAAACGTCAAGCTGCAAATCGATATTACCAATTGTTTTGATGCGTGAGATCATATAACAGCATAGCGGTGTTTTTCTTCCTATAGCGGTCCAATCGTGTAAGTTGGACAATAACTATAAAATTCGCAATTTCGAAAATCTTTAAGGCACGTTTTCTGATGAATCAAACTTTAGTTTGTCGATGATCTAATGATGATGCGATCAGGATTATTTTTTGTGATTTTTGTTCATAAAACTTCATTAAAAAACATTATACGCATTACATCTACAGTTCAATGTATTTTTGAAGTTGTACTTCTGTAGGCGCGTTATGAAAAATTTATGAGAGTGAAATTTTACGATGCGCGCGCACCGTGACACAAAATTAACAGAATTAAGTTGCCCACGGAAGATGCTACGGCATTGCACATAATTTAAAAACAACATTCGAATAATAATAGAATTTATGTTACACTTAATGTAAGAGAATAATAATAAATATTTATTTATTTAATTTTTAAAATGTAAACTGAACTTTATTGACTATAATGACTCCTTTTCCAGTCTTTGATTATTTAATTGTAATTAATTATTTGCATGCAAAAACTATTTTTAATAATGCCAAAGAAGTATAACTTCTTACGCGCGTACATAAGAACACGCACCTTTTTTTAATAAAATATTACCACTGCTTACGTTGTTTAATAATAACTCTTTTTTATACTGATCATAAACGTTTTACTTTATATCGTAGTTTAACTAAAGAGTGGCAATTGTACTTCCCTTTTATTTTAATTTTTTTACCAAAAAAATATTTACGGCAGAAGATGTCCCGCGCCTACGATTGCGTGGTAAACAAATATATCTGCCTATTATATATATTTCATACCTTAGTCCTAGTCGTGTTGGCGGATTTAACATTTGTAATGAGTTTTAATAAATTAAGATCCTTATTTGATTAAACTCATTTATAATATGAACCAAAAAGGACTTGTATTTCAGTCAACTTGAGATCGTCAGCCGTTTACCTAACGGACTCCTGGAATGTTGTTCATCTGGTTGGGTATTTTTATCTTTTGTATAACAAATCAATAATTATATAATTCGTTGTTTTATATACGATAAAATTTATATGAAGTATATAAGCGATAAATTAATTATATTTATACTGGAATTAAAATATTTGTTAGATGCATTATAACCTAGCCTAGAATAAATTAGGGCCTAGCTTCTCCGTTGTGATAAATTTATTGTGGTTCGACACAAGGTTTTGCTTCAATGGTTGCATACGTGTCGTAAAAAGTTTTAAATACAATACACAATTGTGTTAGTACACACTGCGTAAAGATTAAAATAAACGCATAAGATGATTTCTGATTATTAATTCATTTAAATATAGTCAAATATATTTGAATCTACTTAAGTATGTAAAATCGTGTGCTTAACGACACGGTCGAAGTAATCGAAGCGAGGAGGCAGCATGAATTCAAAATTTGCACTACATTAATATGGATTGTCGTTTCAATGAATGAATGTCGGCGTGGTCGCCATGCTTGATGAAGTTCACACGGTAGACCTAAACATTGTAGGTCGAATTTAAATATACTTCCTAAGTATAACATAAATTCTACACAAATTCTATGTACTGACCGTGCTAAAATTTCTAATCTACTTCATAGTGTTAATATGTCATTGTTCTTTTGTCGAATCACGACTGCACGTCATTTTATAATAATTTATAGCGTTATATGAATTAATATATTACTTAGGTATTAAGTTGTTATTCTCTAATACCTAAAACTTATTAAAAAGGATAAGAAATTGTATTTCATAATTAGCAGAAATATAGTAAAAAACGACCTTTACTACTTAGAGAAGAAATGAATCATTGATTTTAAGATTAAGATAAAAAATTACTGATGGAAATTTTAAGTCCTTATTAATAATACTCACGAATTGGAATATTTCGACGTGAATAATATATCGATAAAGGTTCATTCAACTTGCGATCTTGGCTGCTTATACCGAAATAAATCAAAATTAGTATGGGTTAGTTTATGTGCGGGATCGCAGCTGTGTGAGACGTATATCGCGTACGGGGATCTCACGAGTAACCACCACTTCTGGGTCACGAGACAAAACAACGGTTGTACCTGTTCTTCAGTTCAACTGAATATTGTAAATTATGACTAGATAAGCGAATAAAACACAATACAATCCTATTATCGTATTCATGTGCTCTCGGGGTTTTATCGTTATTAAACACCATTATTTATGAGTATCGTAAATTTTGTACTTGAATAAAATATTTGAGATTAGAGGTCCGTTTCAATCGACTATTTCTTGGCATCTAGACGCGGTGTACCAGATTGAAGCGAAATGGTACCAATACTTGTATATACCATTACTTGTATACTATTATTCTATATATAAACTACTCGAAAAGTTAGGCTAGTTTTTGGGTAGCGTACATAACATGTAGAAGACAGAAAAATGTAAAAAGTGACTGGTGAAAACATTTCACTGCTTTAATGTTTTTATGTTATTTTTATACTCACACACCTTTTGATATAATTCTGTATACATTAAAAACTAATTTGTTACATTTATGCTTATTCATGAAATTGAAACAAAACAAAAGGAAAACTTATTATGGCGATCCGTTAATACCATTAAAACGGTATTCATTGTTGTAACCGTGTGAGTGTTAAAGGTTAACGAATGGTTTTATAAATTCACAGGCAATTATTTAAAATATTTCGCATATCTCAGATGGATAGTATGCTTATATGGCGCCAAATAATAATTCATGTTTATTATTGACCTCAACATGCTACTTTAGTATGTTATTGAAAGGAATAATTATAATAAGCACGCAAATTGTAACATTTATAGGTTGCTGTATACGTATAGTTCTTATATTTTGACTTTATTATGTATTACTACTAAATGTAACGAATACTAGTTAATTTAATGAATAATGATTTATCAAATACAAATCAAATGTACTTAGGTTTTTGACGGTCTCTTAAAGCAAATCTGAAGCTATATTGGTGAAATACAGGGGAAATTTGGTAATAATGTTGTTTGTACCTGCTGTTGCGCACGTAAAGCACGCGGCTAGCGCGAACAGCGCCGCCGCCGCGCGCCTCTGATCCATTTGCCGTCGTTCTGAAAAGAAGAAAACATTATTAATACATCATGCTATAAAAATCAGGTGGTTAAATAAAATAAAAATATATAAAATATAAAATTTTTGAAAAGATCGCCGATTTGAATTTTCGCCTTATTCTACGTTTGTAGAATAAGGCGAAAATTCAAATCGTTGTAGAAAAAACGACACTAACAATAGAAACAATTTACTCTCATCATTTTTCCCTAACGCGGCAAAAGAAGTATCTAAAAAAAACTAAAATGTTGACTATAGCTATCTTCAGGTTGTCGGATTTTTGTGACAATTTACTCTCATCATTTTTCCCTAACGCGCCAAAAGAGGTATAACTTCAAGAGTATTAATACTGAATGGTTCGGTCAGAATTATGCGATTATACACTTGTTTTGCCTTCTATCTTTACCATTCTATCATTTATAACTCTGCCATGTTAACATAATGCCGCTCGCGTTCTTAAATTTTAATTATACCGCGTTCACGGCGTTCAACTAGTAGCAATTAAACGAAGCAGCTACGAAAAAACCCGTAGCTCGAACGTAGAATGGCGTAGAGAAGTTTTCTTTAAAAAACGCGATAAGTGCGTCTTAATTCAATAATTATATATCTTTAATTAATGGTGTACACAAAAAACTATTCTACTAGGCTACAAGCCTACGTTTTTATTTAATTAAAGCGTTTTAAAAAGGCATTCATAATACATACATTAATATTTATGCTATAGTACTCAGTTAAACAAAAAATTATAAATTAGCATCTAAATAATGAGTAGAAATACTTTAACCTAAATAAGGGTAAGAACAAAAACCACTTGGCTTCTAACCGCAAGAATGAATATGAATAATATTAATAAGTTAGCTCTGAGCGAGGTAAAAGCGTTGCTGAGGGAGATTATTAAAGCGTTTTCTTTCTTGATTAAAATGTGCTGATTCAGGCGGAACAGTAGCTGAGTTTTTAATTAATAACCTTATGCGTAATATGGGGCGTAACAAAATACACTCGGTTGGAGTATTCTTAAGTTTTTTCTCGCTCGGACGTAATAAATAGAGGTAAACAGAAGGGCGAATATGTGTCGTTGAAGTAAGAATTGAGGACGCGTGCTTGAGAGCTGTGTAGTGAGCTGTACGGGGTGAGCTGGGCCGAGGGTTCGGCGAGTGTGTGCGACGATATTACACTTTCAATGACATGTTTTTATGAATACCGGATATGTACATTAACGTTTATTGTCACGTCTGCCATATTTTATTATATTCATGATTGTGTGACCGTAAGGTTTCATAAATGTCTAAACGGCTTTTGTACGCTAGCCGAATACTTTTTACCTCTCATAATAATAAAACTGTCTTAAAAATTGTTTTAAAGACGAAAAATAAATGTATGTGACCAAGAAAGAAAATTTTTAAATAATTCAAATAATACTTAAACAAAGGATTTATTTAAAATCAATATTATATTAATATACAATTATCTAATAAAGAACAAATTTTGTTAAAACAATTCTGTACTTTCAAATTCATAGCTAATAGAAATGAAGTGATATAACTGCTAAAGCGCCTGCTTACAGTACTTACACTTCGTAATCACTGGAGTCTCTAATCTTTAAGCAACAGACTAATATTTATACATATATAGGTAGGTAACAAGAGTCAATAACTGGAGGGCGAATTATTGTTACTCCAGCTCGGAGTGGCGTTAGCGTGGGAACACATCCCAGCGCGCGTGTTGTTCTTTATACACACCTACACTACACTTACAACTCGTATTTGTAGCTTCTAGAGCCTACCTACCTGTGCTTATTCATTGCTTACAATTTCCTTTTTATACAATTCTAAGGAACGTTGTACGAGAGAGGGGAATGTTTACCTTTATTTTCCACCCTCTTGTCTATCTTTAGATATGTGTACTCGCGTTATATTGTCATCCATGTTCAAGAGTAATTTCAAACATCGAATAAATCGATTTCGGAGTATTCATCTTAGCTCATCTTGGGTGAATAAATATTATCACAATCGGAGATAGGCAAGGGTCCCCCGTCTAGACGCTTCGCAAGTCACCTCCGCCGTGAGGGTGAGGGCGCGGATAATTCAACACTATCCGTTTATTTGCTCCACTAAAGATATCACGGCTCTCTGTCACTTGCAGAAGCCCTACAAATTGAAGCTGCAAAAGCTTTTCCAATTTAAAGATATAAAATATGGTTAACAATGATATTTTCATAATAGCATTATATAATACAAAAGGTAAAAGCACAGTAGTAACAATTACCTTACAATTAACTAACTTTGGAACAAAAAAAATCCACAGCATTAAAGTGTACAATGGAGTTCTACTTCCCAAACATAATTTAGTGTACCGTTTGTTCCACTGATGTAGCATCCAATGTAACAGTAATCTGATAAAATAAACTAAAATATCGGAGAGGGCTTTACAATAAATAAAGTAAATTATAAGTTTACGGCGGCTTACCTATCGGGTCAAGCGACTCTCTTTATAGTTTTTATATGGAGATTAACTCGGGGCTACACCTCGCTACGCTTACGTTATTTTCCTTTTTTCACATTAAAATAGAATTCCATTACGATAGTTCTTTGTAAGGATTATATTTTATGCGTCTTCTTGCTGTATAATATCCATGTATAATATGTCATCATCATCAAGTATACTTAAAACTTCCTCTGTGTGGCACAAATGGGTCAAGTGAGCTATTAAAATTTTTATTAAATCCGCTTGTTTCAAACAATTTTCTATGCTGTGCAATTTATAAATCTTTGTCTTAATAAGTAATATTATTTCGAGATGAGAAAAAATATAAATGAAGAAAATATTCTATTATCAATGTTTAAGTGGCATGTAACGGAATTCGATTAAAGTACTGCATTTACGACCGAATATAGATGCAATTTGAGTGCTGCAATCAGTCCAGAAACCAATAAAAGTGATTGAATAGTATCAGAAGGGCACTGTGGGTCGGTGGCCGTCGTTCGTGGCGCAGTTACCCAATACACAATTTCGGAATAGTGCAACCGCAGCGAACATTGACATCAACGGACATCTTATCTTAAATTGTCACGAAGTGTTTCCGCTTAGGCTGCATGTATTATAGTAAAAAATATTAAGTCGATAAAAAATGAATATTTGAATAGCAGCAACAACTTTATGATAAGATAAAAAGCATAGATTGAATCCTAAAAATGGTATATGTTAAAAAATAGTGACATAATAAAGGCGTGAGGTGGCGCGGCGTGTTCGCACGCTCAGCTATCCCATGCACGCGTAGCTGTTCGCACAATGCGCTCACGTACTCAACTCGCGATTATCAACCGTCGTAAATTACTAATGATTAGCATAGCAGTCGTGGACACGGCGACACCTAGTTGTTAGATTCGGCTAAAAGCTGCATTATTAAGCAATAATTGTCCTTAAAGTGTAGCGGTCGATTAACGGCAGACTTAGACACATGTGCATACAAAGTATTTGGTACACCTCACGCGTTCCGGATAATGAACGTTAATGTTTATTAAGTATCACCGTTAGCGCAATAACATTGTCTTCGTAATATCGCTTTCAAAGTAACATCAAAGACATCAGAGATTCAGGGTAGCAACACAATGTTTTATGCTGAATAATATATAAAGCTAAGAGGGTTCGATATAGGGCACTCGTGTGGAAGAAAATTCACGTGACAGAGTTTACGTCTCTCAGGGAAATGGGTAGGCTGAGAGCAAATATTATTTTCCTCGCAAGTCGTTCGGAGTTCATTGACCCGGGCAAATTTTGTGTCAGATTGCACCAGTAAAAACTATCTAGACTGCTTCACTACATAACAGTTCTTGGGTTTTTTTATTGGGACTTTCTGCACATCTTATCTTTGAAAGTATCAAGCAATTTTATGACATACTAAGTCTAGTATGCATTAATTCATGACTTCCTCTAACAGAAACACAAATCAAAGTAACTACGTAAATAAGTAATGCAATGACGTATTTATAAAATTAAATGTGATTGTATGATTTTTTGAAATACATGTATTATTTTCCTTAAATTCAGTCACTTTATGACTAACCACGATGATAAATTTCTAGTGGAATTCTTGAATATCATTTCGTATTTAAAATATTTATAATCATTACAACCATATGTAAATAACAACAAGTATGTGAAAAATAATTAAAGAGGGCATAGACAGTAATTTAATTTGCAAGTATAGTAAATAAGCGCAATACCAAAGGAAAAACCATTAAATGATTCATAATTTCTTATTAAAAGCAATAAAATCTTAATGACAACAGTGTAAATAGGTACTTGAACCAGTGTTTCGTGGAGCGGAAAATACTGAGAGAATATAGACGTTAATTAGAAGTGATAAATTACTTTGATTACTCCAGTTAGGCTGACACCTAGCGGTGCCAACTCCTAATCACATCTTCATCGTCTCGCTTCCTGTTTCTAGACTTATCTGATTTCAATAAGGAATTATTTGAAAATATTTATACCTCAAACATTGTCGAATAGAAGACAAATAATTCTCCTATGACTGTTGATTATTATATAAGAAATTATAGAATAGCTACAAAATTTAACTTAGATTGAAGTTAAATGCTTGGATATAGTTAGCATTGGTGTACATTAGCTAAACTCGATTTTACATTCTACAACTTTCTATAGACTTCACCAATAGTGGAATTCAGTGTTATCGAAAGGAGCCGAACATGATTAGAATAGAGCTAATATATCTCACGTTCCGTATTAACTCGACCCCGGGCAGAGTCAGGCCGTAGTGATATCGGGCATTGCGCGGGCGCACGTACGACTTGCTAACGTAGTCCGAATAATTTAGGTAAATCCAAGCTAGACATCTCATCACCGTTACACTGTGTTAACATTCCAAACGGATATTTTACGAATTATCTTAATTCCATTCCTTTTCATGTTTGTGATAAGTCTTAAAAAGATATGGGCGTATAGAACTAAGCGTATAATTTACTACTAAA